TCCTTTAATGCCCTGCTCGCAGCCCCCTCCCCACAGCCCCCTTACATTCACACCCGCCGCTGCTCGCCCCCCCGCAGTACAGCAGGTCCCGTCTGGCGGGGCGAGGGTCAGAAAAACAGGGGGAGCAACCTCCAGGCTCCCGCATCACAGCCCTCGAGGGGCCCAGAGGGCATCGCCCCCCTCGGTCCAATCCGCCAGACACCGAGGGCCAGGCAGGGGTTACAGCCAAACAGACAGATAAGAAAATACTTCTGATATTTCTCAGAAACAGCTTTTAGAAACCACAGTTTTTACAGTTCCCTGTAAAAAAGATGGGTTTGGGCACAGGCCACATCCCAGGTCTTCTCTAGTAGAAACGCTTGTTCCGCTCCTGGCGTTTCTGGAAGACCACAGCTCCCACCACAGCGCAGATGATGATGCCCAGCAGCGCGCAGAGCAGGAGCAGAAACACCTTCCAGCCCGTCAGAGGCCCGCTTCGGAAATTCCCTGTCGGGTCATCCACATTGTCTGCAAGGACAAGAACAGCTCCAGAGACCGACCCAACCTCCGCTCCTGCCGGGTCTCACAGGGAGACACAGGTCTAACGCCTTCCAACACGCCTTTAACAGTCCAGCCCCAATGTCCCAATGCTCCACCGAAGGTTTCCCAAGCCCAGAGACTGACCTTTGGGTGATTTAAGGAGGCTGACGCTCGGCTCAATCTTGGTCCAGTCAACAGTCTCATCTTCTAGCGGGTGCTCCACCATGAGCTGGAATAGCTTCATCGAGATAATATCATGATTATCTAGGAAACAACCATCAGCACCAAACACTGTCAGAAGCTCTGAGAGATGTCCACATGTTCAGAGCACCCCTACGACTATGCTCTGCCAGGCCCAGGTCTCCTTCCCTCTCAAAACACCGTCATGCCCCAGGTATTAAACTGCAATTTGAGCTGTTCCTTAGCTCTAAGACCCCTCCTTTCCCAGGCCACGGATCCCTATCCAACAGGGTTTCAAGATTTCAACAATTCAGGGAAAAGAAGCCATCAAAGCCATCTAACACATCACAGTGTTATATTCCAGGCTCCAAACAGCAGGAATTTTTTGTCCCCTCTCACCAGACAAATCTCCAGTGCCAGCAGAAGCACCAAAGAAGTAGCCAGTTGGCAGCTGCACCCCTGCGATGTCAATGCAGTTCTTCCATTCGTTCTTGTCTTCCACATCAGTCATCACCTGTAAGACCAGGGCAGCATCACACCCAGAACACGCACTGCCATCCTGCTGCTCTTCCAGAGCTGGAGGCGCAGGGGGTCAAGCCTGGAAAACCATCTCCAGGTCACCCAGCAACACAACAACCCCCCGCCCCTCAGCACTGCCCCATCTAGCACGCAGAAGGAGTCTGCCACATCTCACCGTCAGGCGGCCTCGGGAATACCGAATTGCCAGGAAAGTGTCGTGGTTCTGGTTCCGAAGGTCAGCAGTGCACCCTGCCAGTTCCGTCCAGCGCCCGTCCTTACTGTGGTCGTACGTCAGGGAGCCGTTGTTCACCATCGCAGAGATGTAGGGGAACACGCGCTGCAGGAGGAGAGCTCTGCTGCTTTCAGTCTGCAGGAGCCTTCGAGCTGCAGACCCAGAGCCACCTTCTCAGAAACCTCATCGAGAGCAGGAACTCAGCGAGGCACAGCAACAGAGCCACAGGGCAGAACAACGACCTCAAGGCTAATTTTCTTCATAAAGCTGCTTCTAAACTGAGCAAGAGCGTGTTCTGGCTAAAGCAGAGCAGGTGTTTCTGACCTTCTGCATCAAGACCCCCCAGGAGCCCACACCATACCATGTGGCCAGTGCAACGAGACCACTCCAGACTTTCAGAGTAAGGACCAGACTGGGTAAGAAGTGTAAAAACAGAGCACAGGACTCAGAACCGGCAGAAATCTCACATGAGCAGCATAACAACATGCAGGGCTTTGTAGCCAGCAGACTATGTACAACGGAAGAGGCCAGCTGGAGGCAAGAACTCAGTTCTTGGTGACTGACCATCAAGACAAGAGGGGGATGGGATGTTTTCCAGGTGCTTTATGACTTAAGTGACATGTTTTTGGTGCAATAGATCTCACTAGCACAGTTATGTTTTCTGACTGTGCCATAACATCATCCACAAACACAGAACAGGAGAGAAGAAAAGGACCAACAGCCCCCAGGGACTGATGTGTATTTCAGCCATGGGGAACTCCGGAGCAAAAAGCCAGCCCAGGAGGTTCTCTTCTAGAGACATCCAGGTTGGAAACAGAGAATAAGGCCAGAAACAACATGGAATGATCAACCAAAAGCACAGAGAAGTTTGAGAAATTACACTCAGGATGAATATACTTTCAGGTGGATTCCTCTAATTTAACTTAATAGGTGGTGCGTAGGTTACACCAGCTCCATGCTGCACTCTCAACCTGAAGGGAAAAGGCCCTGGAAACATCTGTGTAGTCAACAACAGCAGAGCACAGAGAAAGGACCTTCTTATCTCCATCAATGCACATACAAACTCTTCCCTCTACCAGCTCCCATGACAGGAAGAGCAGCCCACTCTCACACAAGAAGAGACTTTTCCTTGGTTTGGGCGTGAAGCACTCAGAGCCCAAAGCTGTGAGGGAACAGCCTCCTTGGCACGGAGTGAGGTCCCTGAACTACTCACCTCTGTTGCCTCATCGTTGGGATATGTATCAAGGAAGATCGCCAGTCCATGAAAGTTGTCCTTGCTGCCAAAGACAGGACCTGGAACAGGGCAGAACACAGGGGAGAGAAGGCTCTCAGAAGGAATTTGTGCTTCTATTGAGAAGAGCTGCGAGAGCTGTTCATTGCCAGGCAGATGACTGAGGGCACCTGCTTCCAGGGCAGAACGCACCGGACACGCCATCCCGATCTAGAGAAACTGGTCAGAGGGGAGCTCAGACACCTTCCCTAGTGAGAAACCTTCCAGTCAAGGGGCACCTCCAAAGACAGCTCCCTGGGCTGCCCCAGGGCACACACGAGTGCT